GAAAGATAAAGATTGTGGCAGCATAAGCAAATGTAACTTTTATGGTAGGTGTAAATCATGAGAGATGTTATACTAATAGTTATAAAGAATTTGTACAGTGATTGATAAAATTAACTGTTCAAATGTAAGTTGAACAACATTGTTACCTGAACTGCATTTCTGTTTTCGGTGTTTTTGGGAGAGCATTGAACAAGCAGAAACAGGAGATTTAGTAATTTCCTGTAAACAAACAAAGCAGCCAATAAATTAAGAAGTTTCATAGTAGTTTGTGTACAATTTGAAGAGGTTTATTATATAAGACCATAAAGAAATGCTTGGAATGAAACGGAGAAGGGAGGAATGAGTTAAATATTCGGAAGAAAGCTGACAGTACGTACAGATGGGAGAAACAGAGGTCCTAAAGCCGCTGTATTGATTTGCAGAGGAAGGCAGAAAAAGTGGACAGGGAAGTTACAACCAATTGTCAAATTAAAGTGTGTGTTCCTTTTAACTGTGTCTTTTCATTTGCAGATGCTCATATATACACATGACTATTTGACTATTGTAGGTGTTTAATGTGCAAATTTGTTTATGAAAGCTGTGAAGAAGAAGTTACATCAGCAGAGTTGAAGTGATTGAGGTTTGAGTAGAAACATTTGGTGTCATACTACTAAAGGTGCAAGTTTGTTATATAGCAAATTTATCATTTGAAGGCTCCATTTGCTATTGGTAAATTTAGAGTTGTTTTTTTACTTTGTCGACATGCATTGCACTTCAATTAAAACCCTGCACACGTGTTTAACTATTTGGCACATCCACTTGAACTTCTATATGCAGGTCTCTTTCTTCAGTCTTCTTCTCTTTTATTTCTGTGTCTGTTTATTGGAGCTTCCACTACATATCTTCAATGGTAAACTACTCATTTTATAAATTTTCAACTACAGAGTTGTGTCTCAATTACCCGTTTGCATGTCAGTATTTGATTCGTGTTGAATATTCTGCTTCATTCCTTTTTCGATGATCAAGTAAATATTTGTTTTTCGGAGATTATTGAGTTATGATCTACAAATTTTCCTTGATTAACAATCTTCAGTCTACCTATGAAATTATATTCATATTTATGTTTTATGTTTCCTTAGAATAGTCGTCTGATTTTAAATATTTAATTTTCCACTTTCTGCATGTATTTATTCTTGGTGGATATTATTATACATGTGGTTGTTTATTAAGTTCTTGCTGAAGAATATTGTACTTTGATGCCTTAATTGTTACAACACTTATAACGGGGAATTGCTACAAAAACATAAAGAAGAGAATAAGAAGAAGAGAACATTGATGCATTCAGTATGTTTGATGAAATGCCCCCAATGAAAGGAGTATAACACATTCCAGCAAGTTTATAAACATCTTCTATGCAATCAATCTATAGCATTGGACATTGATCCTAGGTAATTCTTTTGTGACACTACTCTTACACAGAAAGCATATATCTTGGACTGAAAAACTATAGAAAATTGTTTGTTACAGGCAAAGTGAAATATCAGAGAATAGCTAGTGGTTGTATAAAGTTGTATAGATCATGGGAGAAGACATATAAGATACCTGCAATCACGTGTGGGATGTATGTGAATGTTGTGGACTGGCTAGCCTGTATATAGAGTTTGCGTCGGAAGTTGAAGCAATCCCTGTGAGCTGTTGATAATGAAGAGGCTCCTGCAGACCCTGCAGGCTGTTGTGTATGAGTGGTTTTTTTTATTTTCCAGTTGCAGGGAATCTCCTATGAAAGGGATTTAGTACTTAGGAGCATTCAATATAAGGGAATTGAACATGAATGAAGTTACAACTACACATGGAACAACTGAAACGAAGTATTAAATATAATACAAGAAATATTTGGAGCAAGTAATGATTTATAATACCCACTGATAATTTGGAGTATCCTGAAAACCGGACATTTGACGAAAGGCGAAACGACAATTAAAAGAGTTGAAGTAAAAGTCATGTGCAAACACCGGTAAGTAAATTAATAAGAGAAGTACTAAATTAGGAGTAGAAATGAAGTACAGGAAATTCAACCTAGTACCATTATGAGAGAGTTTGCTACTGCAGTCAACAGTAGAGATGCGTAAGATAAGAATTCTGACTGTATTCCAGAAGTTTTTGTTACAGGTGAAGTAGAATATGAGAGAATACCTCCTGGGTGTATAAAAGCATATAGATGATGGGAGAAAACATATAAGCTACCTGCGATCACGTCTGCGATGTCTCTGAATCTGCTGGAGTGGCTAGCCTGTATATACAGCTTGGGTCAGGATTTGAACCAATCTCTCTAAGGTGGTGATAATGAAAAGGCTGGTGCGAAGCCAGCAGGCTCTTCTGTATCAGTGGTATTTGTATCGTTCAGTTGCAGCCAATTACCTGTGAAATAAAGTCAGTATTTACGAATATTTAATTTCAGGAAATTCAATATGAAATAAGTTAGAAATACATATGGGTCAAATGGAAAGAATCATTAATTATATTACATGAAATATTTTGTTTGGTTTTGCTAAGGAATTTGTTTGGACAAGTATTTAGGCAGAAGAAAGCAAAGACATATAGAAGCTCTGAATACCGAACATGTGGGGATACAACATATGTGACAAATGACAGTATGTTTAACCAGGGAAATTGAGGTGGTATTCTCGGTATAATGTGATTGAAGCAGCAGAAATATTCCATCGAAATAGTCTAACCTATTGATGAAATCAATTGAAGCGGGTAACATCAGAAGAACAATGTAGACCAGGTAATACATTCGCATCCTGTTAAGCACAGCGAATATTGAGACACAGTAAGTACAGAAGATGTAACAATTTCATCTTCTATAATAGATTTTTGCAACAAACAATGTATCTACTTGTCCCAAATATTTGTCAAACATTTTATTTTGACATGTGTCTCTCTCTCGACTTTATGTGTAAATATGCAGGTCCAATTTATGAAGACAAATGTACCTTAATTAACAGATACTTTAACACTTATGAGCAGTGTTAACTACATATTGGCAAATTTAATGTAAAATTGTTATGACCAAGTAGGGACTGTGGTGGTTCGATGGTGACGACAGTGCAACAGACAAATGCATGCAATTATTGAGCAGAAGTTTGCATCACATACATAGATAGAGTATAATATGGCTTAATATGCTCCACAAAACACCAATTAGGAATCGGAGAAAGAGGAAAAGACAAGAGAAATTAGGAATAGGAGTAAGAGCAAATGATGGAGCAAACCTGTAAATTTCACTTAAACGACGAAGAAATACCTGCGCAGGTCTTCCGAAACAAAGACAAATGTTGACGAAAGCTTCACAGACAGATTTTAACTCTGTAAACAAACAGAAAACAGTAAGCAGCAGATGGATTCGCCATTGAAGAGGTGAGAAGTAGAAGGAAGAGTTGACAGAATACAGCGACTTTACCAAGGAGGACAGAAACTTAAAGCATGAACAAGCAGCTGCGCAGCTCGTCCGAAACAAACAGAGATCTTCAGGAAAGCTTGAGAGACAGATTTAAATTGTGTAGACAAAGAGGAAAAAGTAAGGAGCAGACGGATTGGCCATTCAACAGATGAGAAGTATAGAAGGAAGAGTTGAGAGAATAGTCGGAGTTGACGAAGGAGGCGAGGAATTAGGGTTAGAATTTGAGTTGAGAGAATAGTCGGACTTGACGAAGGAGGCGACAAATTAGGGTTAGAATTTGGTCAGATATAGGAAGAAAGTTCTAGAGAAAGTGGCTTTATTTATTATATTGATGTACAATTAGTACTACCATTAGTACAATAGAAAGATGCAGTGTTGGTCCTTTCAAAAATGTACAATTAGTACTGCGTTTAGTACAATCAAATAATGCAGTGTTGGTCCTTTTTAAGTCTCATTTCTACATAAGGGTAATATATTATTTGTGTATGATAGTTTGTGTAGTTGAGTTTATATTTTTAATTTATGGGTTTAAATTATACAGTAACGATGATCTTAAGAGTTAATAATTAAATTCTAAATTTATCGATCATTTGCTTCTAATTCATACTCGGACTTCTAGCTCGTACCCGAGCTTCTACCTTTCTCTTTGGTCGTGAGGAATTTTTTTCCAGCTCTATTGGATATATGTAATTGAGAAAAAGATTTTTAAAAAAAGGGTTATGTGGACTAGTGAAAGTATGTAGATTTTTTCTATATGTTTAATTATCCATTAATATCAATTAGTGTTATACCTCTACAAGAAATATGAAATATTTGGATGCTTCGACCCTAAGAACCCTAGAGTAGTGTAGAAAAAAGTTTGCTTCTTTGTATTATTTTATAATAGAAACTAAATTATGGTTGAATAAGATAAGTTGATAGGTTAAGCTAATATATTATCAAAAAAAAAAAAAGTAACATGAAATGTCAAATAAGGGAGGCCTTTTTTTCTTTTAATTGTATACGTAAATTTTGAAGAAAATAGTAATAGATGTATGATATTACTCCCTCCGTTTCACAAATAGTGATCTAGTTTGACTTGAAATAAAATTTAAGAAAATAAAGAAGACATTTGAATCATGTGGTCTTAAATTAAAATTATGTCAAATGTACACAAAATTATCCTTTAGTGATGTGGCCTTAAACATGTCACGTGGAAAGCTAAAATTAAAATGTTACCGAAAAACAAAAGAAGTCATTCTTTTTGAAACAGAATAAAAAGAAAAGTATGACATTCTTTTTTAAACAGAGAGAATATTTTAGTAGGCATTTTTTCAAACATGAGTAATTGGCAATTAACGCATTGATTAGTCTTTACTCCATCTTTAATGAGTGATTTTAAAACTGAATGCTGAAAATGAAAAAGCTATAACTAGGGAAGGGGCGTTTTATTGCTAAGGTGAAATATTTAAATGCATATCCAATAAATGGTTCTCTCTCATGTCTATATATAATCCCACCAATTCCCAAACTTTTCAACCATAATTATCATCACCGAGATTGAACTTCATTGCAAAACATGAGCTGGTGGTGGTCAAGAGCTATTGGTGCTGCCAAGGTAATTCATCTTTCTTCTCTTTCCAAAATCCCGCTTCAATATAAGGCTTCGTTTGGCTATGATTTTTTTTAAAAAAATGAAAATATATTTGATATAGTATGTAGTAACTTGTATATGAAATATATTTTATAAGATTATGTGACTAATTAATTTGACATATTGCTCTTTTAGAGTAAAGTTGCTGGTATGCTCCAGGTAAATTAGTCAAATAGGGTAATAATCTTAATTTTTATGGGGGAAATAATTTAAATATGTCATCGAACTTTGAGAAAAAAGTCATTTATTAAAAGTTTGGCTTATCTATTCCATTTTTATTTGAGAAAAGAGTCATCCATATGAATTATTTGTTAACTGAAAACAATTCTAATTTTGTAAAATCAGTTTTTACACGTGGTCAATTATGATTCGTTCACGTCATTAATAAAATTTGTTTTTCTAAACAGAAAAAGACTCAAATATGTCATTGAACTTTGAGAAAAAGTTTATCTACACCATTTGTTAAAAGTTTGACTCATCTATGACATTTCAGGTTAACAAATAATGACATGATTGAACCTTTTCTCTAACGAAAATATCATAGATTAGTCAAACTTTTAATAGATGACAAAAATGAACTTCTTCTCAAAGTTCAATGACATATTAGAGCATTTACTTTTTTTATAAAGCTAATAAATTGTATTTAAAAAAGTACGTTAAAATTTTAAAAGTTTTTTGCAAAAACTATGACAAAGACAACTCCAACTTTAAAAAAGGGAAAATGTTAACAGTATTCTTAAACTACGTGAAATAAAATAAAGATGTACTTAGTAAATTTCTGATCTAAAAATATCTTTATCGTTAATAGTTTGATCTAAAATAAAGTAAATTTGCATCATTTAAAAACATGTTTTGATCATTTTCCACAAAATGAATAATATCTTAAAATGCTTACTAATTCTTTCTTCAATAATCTAACAAATGTAATGCTCTGTTTAATTATGAGAATTATTCATTTTTAAATTAAAATTAAAATTGTTAAATAAAGTAAGAATATATATATTTATCATAGTATATAGTGGTTCATATATGAGATTTAATTTATAAAATTATATGATTATTTATTCTAAGAAATTATATTTTTAAGCTAAAGTTACTGATATATTTCAAATAAATATGTCAATTATGGTGATTATGTTAGTTTTTAAAAATTAGTGGTATAAATTGCATTTGGAAAAATCATGTTTGAATTTTATATATTCATTGCAAAAAGTATGACAAGAACAACTCTAAATTTAAAATTTTGAAATAAAATGAAAGAAAAAGGGTTAATAATGTTCTTACACAATGTGAAAGTAAGCAAAATTGTAATTTGTTACTATTTGATAAAAAAATATTTCTGTGATTAATACTTTGATAAAAAAAAAAGAAAGTAATTTTGCATCATTTAAGTACATTTTTGATCGTTTCCATAAAATGAAGTAATATTTCAAGATGTCTACGGAGTAAAATGTATCATTTAGTAAAATGTAAATTTGCATCATTTAGTAAAATGTATTTTCTTATATAGTAACTCATGTTTGGAAATTTATCTTACAATATACTCCTCTCCCTTAATGAGATGAGTATATTATCTAAATGACCCAATTATTTCTATTTTTTCTTAAAATATACTCTTCTCTCCTAATGAGATGATGTGTCACATTGTTTATTTTTTTAACAATACAATAAAAACTTTTTGTTAAAAAAAAAAGTGACAAGGCATCCCATTAGAAGAGAGAAATATATCACTACAAAAAAATGCTCAATTTGTAGCAGTTTTTGTGAAAGTTTTAAAAACCTCTTCTATTACTTTATTTTGTGACGTTTGTTTTAACCCCTACTAAATAAATCTTTTTGTGACAATTATATTGAGGAGGTTTGGAAATCACCACAATTTCATAATTCATGGCGATTATTAACTCCCATAAATTTGTAATATTTTAGAAAATATTTATATATCTTTTATTTTTGATATATTATTAAATATTCATATTTTATGATTTTTGACAAATAGTAATAAAATTTAACTAACACAATATACGTATACACAATGACACAGATATATACATCGTTCTCTTTCTATACTTTATATATATCATTAACGTACTATCAAAATATTCCTTTTCTACTTTGTCTATTCAACTTCCTTTTAGTGTTTTATTTTTATATATTGCTACTTTATATTAAATTTTGACAACAAAATTTATTTTGAAAATTTAGCCTAAATGTGTAATTATACTTGTGCAATATAACAATACATTTACAATTATATTTGATAAAAAATAAATAATTGTAATAACTATACTGTGCAATTACTAAACTATGTAATTACTACCTATTAATTGTACTAATTAAATTTTTATGGCCAAACACACATTACTAAGTCTGATTTGTGCTAGATCATTTTGCGTTAATGAGTTAAATATAATTTGAATTCTACTTCTAGTTTTTATTTCTCTAATAAATTTACGTATTTTAAAATAAAATATAGATGTCTTATCAATTGTTATATTTATTATATTTATGTGTGTGTGCATTTAATTTTATAAGCTCTTATAATATTTGATTTTCAAGATAAAATATTTTAATTACTAATTATTAGTTATTAGTAGTTATAAGGAAACTTTTAACCTAATTAGTCTAACCAAAATCCTAAAAGGCTTACCTTTTTTTCCCACAAAATTAAAAATTTCTAAGGACTAAAATTCCCTCCCAAAAAAATTTGAAACCAAAACAAATACAAATTCCCCCTTCCCACTACAAAATAAACTCCCAAATCTCTGTCCCACTTCCCCACTTCCACAATTCGGTAACTCTTAAAATGCTCTCTCCCTTTTCTTTGTTTTTTTACTTATTTTGTTCTTTTGTTCAATTAGAATTTTGTGTGTGCATGTGTAATTTTTTTTAATTGACTTCTTCTTTGTAGGTTTTATGAAGTGATTCTCAGAGCAATAAGTGTGTACAACATGCGGATTTGATCATAATATTTTTGTGAATATAAAGGTAATTCTCTGTCACTTGAATTTTAAAATTCACACTAAAATTTGAGATTTATATATTTTTTTTTTATTTGAAAATAAATATGTACTTTGTAAGTTGTTAAACTTAATGTAGCTATAATTTTATATATTTCAGGATATTTTTCTTGAGTTTTCAACGCACCATAAAGACAATTATACATGACCTTCAATTGATTGAAGATAAGCCTCAATTTTATTTTTATGTAAATATGAACGACGACTAGCGTTTTATTAAATCTTGAATCTGTTTGATTCGTATTGACAACTATCAAATTAGTTTTATCTCATCTAAGAATGCCTTAAGGGAGGAGAAAATATAATTATTTCATACAACATACTTAAATGGGTAGCAAGGTATGACAGAAATAAACCACATCATGTTACTTCTTTTTGGGTGAGAGCTTAAAAATATTTACATTCTCTTTAAATTGATGAGTACGACCTCACTAATAGTTTATTAAAGTCAATGGTTCATATGAATTTATGTTTTAAATGAATTAAATTTTGATTTTTCTTCTTGTATTAAGGTGTACAAGGATATATATATATCAATATTTGTTTATCTAATTACGTATAAATTATTTATGGTTTCAAGCTTTCAACCTAGTGATGAAGTGATGATGAAGATCGAGTTTACTTCACCTTGAAAAAAGAAAGTAATGGCACCAATTCAAGTTACCAAATAACTGCATAGTAATTCTTTTTAATATTTATTTGATATGGAACTATTTTAGATTTTAAGTTGTAACACTCAAGTTGCTATACATGAGTTTTTATTACTGATTTGTAAAATGTAATATAATTTACATTAAATATTTAGAAAATATTTATATGTATTATTACAAAGGCTTGATGTAAAATATTTTTTTTATAGAAATATAACAATTTGTGGCGGTCACAAACCTCCACAAATTAGATTTTGTGAATATTCATATCATTTCGTGGCAATTTTAAATCCATGCAAACATATTTTTAAAAAAATATTAAAAGAATATGGTGGAGGTTATAAAACGTCACAAATTGATTTAAAAAAACCTCCACAAATTAAAAAGTGATTTTGTGGCGGTCGTCATGGAGGTTTCTTAAAACCGCCACAAATATGCTCGTGGCAAAGGTAATTGTAGCGTTTTTAAAAACCGCTGCAATTCTTATTGTGAGGGTCAAAAACTGCCTCAAATTGACAAAATAACCCCCATAAATTGAGTATTTTTTTGTAGTGTATTTTGAGTAAAATAGGAATAGTTGGATGATATTGTGGTCCTAAAAAGTAGCTACAGCGGAGCGGCTTACTTCTGAGATGGATTTACCGATTGAACTAGATTTACCCGCCCTTTTCACCTTTTTTCTTAATTATGGAATTGTAGCGCTGTTTGTTGATTTTTGAAAGAAGGGGCGGAGCTTGAAGAAGCCTTTTTTTGGTTTATAACCCAGCCGTATAATCGAAATAGGATCGATTGGCCTGAACCCTACTTCTCTTTCATTGCTCGGGTAATCCTTAAGCCCAGATCGAAACATTCAGCTGTCGACGGACAAAACCGGAACATCGACCGCAAACGAAAGATGGCCAGGCCCCCAAACTTAAGAAGCTGGGGGCGTGCCCGCCGGCCCCTGACCTGCCCTAAACCCCTTAGATATATGCTCAATTCTGGACAGAAAGTAGTCCATCATCTTACTACTTCTAACAGCCCTCAGCGTGGGGATCTTTCTGGAAATCAAAACTAGTTTTGTTGAGGAACGAAGTAGCCCGTTGCTTACCTGCATTTCTCTTGGGTGAATCCACCACGCGTGGGTTCAATCCCCGTCGTTCGCCCATCAATAAATGGACGGGAAGGTATTCGGTTCAAAAAAGATACGGCAGTCAGAACGTATCGTGCGTATGAATTCATGTTGTCAACGCGGTTTCCTCTCCCTGTAGGTCGAGCTTCCTTTTCAGCCCTCTCACATCTTTAGTTCTTTTTGTAGGCCGGACATCTTTTTTCTAAAAATCCCAACAGTCTCTATGTGAATCTCTTCCCGACCGGCCAGGCCGAATCGGGGCACGTGATTTCAAATCCAAGGGTTAATCGTACTTTGGCAACCCTCACCGCCCAGGCACAACGACGCAATTATCAGGGGTGCGCTCTACCACTGAGCTAATAGCCAGTAAAATGTAAAAGTAATATTATAATAAAAAATCACAAACATGGTGACTATCTAAGAAATTTACTCTTCAATAATCCAACTAATGTAATTCTTAATGACCCAGAAAAAAGTGGAAGAAGATGATGTTCCACAAAATTGTCAAAGTGTTGCTCTAATCATCGGAGTCACTGGCATCGTCGGCAATAGTCTTGCAGAGATCCTCCCTGGCACCGACACTCCGGGCGGACCTTGGAAGGTCTACGGTGTTGCACGCCGCCCTAGACCATCGTGGAATGTCGACTACCCTATTGAATATATCCAGTGTGACATATCAAGCCCAGAAGAAACCCAATCCAAACTCACTCTTCTCACTGATGTTACTCATGTTTTCTACGTTACTTGGGCAATTCGACCTACAGAGCTCGAAAATTGTGAAATCAATGGGAAAATGTTTCAAAATGTACTCGATGCTATTATCCCCAATTGCCCCAATTTGTCCCATATCTGCTTGCAAACGGGTCTAAAATACTATCATGGTTCATTTGAATTGTTCGAAAAAATAGCCCATGATACCCCATATAATGAGGGTTTGCCCCGTTTACCCGCACCCAATTTCTATTACACCCTGGAGGATATCTTGTTTGAGGAGGTGAAGAAAAAAGAAGGATTAACATGGTCAATTCATAGGCCTGGGTTGATTTTTGGATTTTCACCGTATAGTATAATGAACATTATTGGAACTCTTTGTATTTATGCAACTATATGTAAACACGAGGGATTGCCGTTGAGATTTCCAGGCTCTAAATCTGCGTGGGATGGGTATTTGTATTGTTCAGATGCAGATTTAATTGCGGAGCATCAAATATGGGCATCAGTGGATCCAAACGCAAAGAATGAGGCATTTAATATAAGTAATGGGGATGTGTTCAAGTGGAAACATTTGTGGAAAGTTTTAGCTGAGGAGTTTCAAGTGGAAGCTGAAGAATTTGATGAAAGTAAGAGATGGACACTAATGGAGATGATGAAAGACAAAAGAAGAATTTGGGAAGAGATTGTGAAGGAGAATGGATTGGTAATAAGTAAATTGGAGGAGATTGGAGGTTGGTGGTTTGTTGATCTTTTTCTTATTGGAGAGTGTCCATTGGATACTATGAACAAGAGCAAGGAACATGGTTTTTTGGGTTTTAGAAACTCCAAAAATGCCTTCATTTCATGGATTAATAAGATCAAAACCTGCAAAATTGTTCCTTAATTAGTTTTTGGATTTCCAATGTGTGAAAATAAAGTTGAAGTAATAAGGTTGATTTCACCGTAGTCATTCAATTGATATTGTACGGTTGTTATCTGTTGTGTTGTATTGTACCGTATCCGTTCAATGAAAGTATTTTGTATACATATATATTTTTAAGTCTTTTTGAAGATTCCTAATCATTAATGTTTTATGTTCATGCCTATGACACATATATATATAAGTGAAAATATATTTGATCTCTTTTTTAATCACTACATAATTAAGGAAAATCGAAAGAACCGACTAAAATCAAAACAAAAAAAAAAACTAACTTGATATAGGTTTGATTTGGTTTATATATTAAATAAATCAATATAATTGATTATGTTATTTTTTAGTGAAAAACTAAACCAAATCGAACTATGTACCCCTAATAACAATCATCCAAACAAAGTGAAGTGTGCTTGGTATGGAGGAAACCATTTTTCAATTTCTCATATTACTACTAAAAATAGGCAAAAAAATTACAGACAAAAAAAAACGATAGACACAAAAGCAACAACAAATGCAACGTTGTTCATCGCTTCGTTTATTTTTTAATTTATGTTTTTTTTTCACAAAAGCGACGGACAAATAATTTTAGATTTTTCATTCGTTAAATAGCACAAACTATTTTTTTTGTATAATTTTATTACAATATATCGATAATTATCCTTATCGCTAAAAATATTAGAATTTTTATGAATTTGTTATCATTTAAGGTAACTTCGGTTGTCATTAATTTTCATCTCAGTTAGTTGCATATAAATAAAACATTATTCAATTTTATAGACCTATCATTTCTGTTTAATTCAAAAGTCATTTCTGGCATTTGTCACAATCTAAACCGCCGTGAGTGACACTAACACTAATACTCCAGTGGAGAACCATTTACTAACCTCAACCTACCCCATTAACCATTCAAAGAGGCAAAATCATAACACAAGATGGAAGGAAATAATTTAAAACAATCAATGGACAAGTTCCCATAATTATAATTGTGAAATTTAGCCCCCTAGAACCTGAAAGTCATAATACCAAAACTCTAAAGTATCTAGAATAAAGAGATGGAACCCCAACAAGAAAGCATAAGTTTAATTCTGAAATGTTTATATTCGAAAAGATTGATAACTAGATAAGTAAGAATTCATGGCAACCCAAAAGAAGTAGCTCACTCTTGGATTCACATCTCTTGCTTCTCACAATTGAGGTCTCAAAGCAGCCGCCTGAATATATCTTGTATTGCACAAAGATCAAGTGTAATATTTGTACACAAACACCATGTACTGGTAGTATCATACGGTCGGTCCCAAAATATGAATGTAAAGAAGTAACTATAAAATAGTAACGCAGACCAACACATATACCAACAACCAAAACATAATACAGACTCCCAACCACCAACCTTGACTTAACCAATACATGAAACATGTCCTACATGATCACAAAATACAGTTATCCGGTCCTCTCATAGAACGCACACACAATCAGTTAGTGTACTGGCATGGTATCTAAGCCAACCATTGTTAGAATTTCATACCATGCATGGTATCCGAGCCAATAGTTAGTATCTTGTACTAGCATGTTACCCGAGCCAATAGTTAGTATCCTGTACTAGCATGTTACCCGAGCTAACCATCAATCACAAACATCCTGCACAAGCATAATCACAATGAACAACCAACTTGAAATCACAAGTAAATAAACAAGTTCATTGCATAAGATTATCACATGAAATTATTTCACATTAGCCTTCTAGTTTTCCCCACATGCATAACACAAATAATACTACACACTCAACTAACATGCACACATTACATACCTTGGAAAATAAATAAATATAATCATCTCCTACCTCGAAACAAGCCTGATTACTCTAAAGAACTTGAGCTTTTCCCTTCCATCACTACAACAAATATGATATACAGCTACAAAATTATTAGCTACGACATGAAATTTGTCACTAATTGTTCGCTTTTAGTGACAAAAATTTCTTTCGTGCCTAAATATATTAGACACACACTTTTAGTGACGAAACTTTAAAATCCGTAGCAAAGTTTTGTCCACTAAAATTTCCCACCAAAAATTTAATTGGCGCCATTTGTTAAGTAGTGTTAGACACGAATTTAAAGTTATCGGTGACACATTATTTCGTCACTAATAATGTATCTAATTCATGACAAATTATTTTTTGTCTTAAAATTTATTAATTTTTGGTCACAAAAAAATTCATCTAAAAAAATATGTTGTTACAATATAGACAAATTAGAGTTTGTAGTTAAATATTATAAGTTTTAGCTATAAAATTTAGATCTAATTATGCCATTTATTTTTGTCACTAATAATATAAATAATTGGCGACAAAGATTTTATTGTCTCTAATCAATCTGTGATTTAGTGACAAAAAAAGAAATTGTCATAAAATATGTAAGGTGTTAAATAGCGACGACTTAAAATTTGTAGTGAATAATTCAACTTTTGCTACAAAAAAAATTCATAGCTAAATACAATTTTTTTTGCTACAATTGTTCATAATTACAAGTGACAACTTACAAAAAGTATAATACAAGTGCTTCATAAGAAATAGGTAGAGTCCATTCGTTAATTGGCGAGGGAAAATATTAAAACCAACGAATTCAGACAATTTTGTAAAAATGAAAAAGTTCAATTTATCAATTTTTTTAAATTATGCAATTATAAAATGCATCATTTGAAAAATACAATCCAGATTATAAGCACCGTGAGTGGGGCACGGTTGTACCACTAGATCTCTAATATTTGTTGGTTTAACACTTTTATTTTTTATTTGATACACTTTCATCGATAAAGACGATAGAAAAAATAATTTCTCAAGTCTTGGTGCTAATTTTTGTGTGTCTATTGATTTGTGATTGGTAAACTGCATAGACTAAGTCGATATATTTGCTTCTGTCTAAAAATATGTACATATTTAATAGTAATTCCACATACGTACGTAGAGCAACTATACAGAGATAACATCGACTTACAAACTTAGACTTTGCAAAGGTGCGAAATATTTCATGAATTTCTATTAACTTTTTCCATCAGTGTGAAAATCGAAATAAACTAAAAAATGAAAGCGCAAATGAAAGAAATGAACCAACTAGGATTTCAAATATATTATGATGAAGTACTGTAGTTATGGGTATAGATATTTTTTCAAAACAATTGATTTACTGATCGAATTGAATCGATTATTCATTTTTTTAAAATAAAATCGAAAGTTAAATTTTATATAAATTTATAATTGTACTGAATATTTTAAAAATTTTAAAAATAAATAAATAAAATGACAGAATCGTACTGAATATATTTAAAGATATTTTTAAAAATATATTGTTTAATTAAAATATAATCTACATTTGAATGAATTTTGGATGGTAAATTTCATGCATTTGTGTATGTGTATAAATAATCATATAATATATTATTTCTACGGAAGTTAAATTTGAAAGAAAGGAATGAAGTTAAAAATAAAATAAAACTGAGAGACAAAAGAGAGTTGATCAGATGGTAAGCACTCCTCACTTCCAACCTTAAGGTTGTGAGTTCGAGTCCCAAGAAAACATCATATGTGGGAGCTCATGGGGGAAGGGGTTAAAAAAATTGAGATGTGAGATGAGATAATAGGAAAATTAACCTTTTTATAATAATAAATGTGTGTAATGACCCGAAATGTCATTTTTGGAAATTTAGAATAATTGTTTAACTAGACTGAATTAGTTGGTGGTTAATGGGCCAAGTTCATATATATATATATATATATATATATATTAATATAAGCTAGTGAGATTTAACATTTATTTAATTATTCAGTGGGTCATAATTATTTGCCCTAATCAATTAAAAGAAAAACAGTTAGCCTCTCGAAGAGGACTTCATCGGCGACCGATCAAAGTGCAGCAGGGGAGAAACTGTTGTCGAACAAAACTATTGTTGCGGTACCGGAAAAGGGCGACGAAACTTTAGGTAATATTCAAGTGAGTTTCAAATTGTGTCTACTTATATTATTGTTGCATATAGGAATTAGTATTATAATATTATTGGATTGAAGAATTAAGAGGTGAATTGTTGCAATTTGAGTGAATTGTCCGTGCTTTGTGACCGAGGATAATAATAAAAAAATAATTGAGGGACACAATCATTGTCAATGATAAGGCAATGATTGGCAGTGATAGTAGAATATGCTTGTTTAGCATTGGCAGTGATAGTTGAATGGAAGTAATATGGTTTAAAATATTATTTTGACATTAGATGTTACTGATTTCTATTGATTTTGGAGTTGCAAAGTTCTTCATGGTGATCACATTATGATCCAAGTTCCAGCGTATTGGTGTGATATACTTAAATTTTAGGTATACTATATTATATGAATATCATTAGATTTATGCTATTTAACGAAATTGAGGCATAATCTTAGACTTGAAATTTGAAAATATGAGTTGACATGTTAATTGACATCAAGATTTAGGAATTTGATTTTAGGTTTGAATGAGTTCTTGGGTCTAGTTGGACATAGAGTAATATGAATGTTGTTAGTTTCGAAATCTTATCATGGTCATTTATTTGGATAGATTGTATTGATTTGGAAGTCCAACGAAAGGGAAAGGCTCAAGTCCCGGAGTGATTGTTTGACTATTTGAGGCAAGTGGATTTCTAAACCCTTGTTAAGTGTATGGAATTCATGTATTTCCTTGTAATATGTGTTTAGGGTAATGAGGTTTGGTGATGGGTTGACTTGTCCACATTGATTAATTCTAATGATGAAAAAGGGATAATAAAAGGCAATGTGATCAGTTGTTTGTGTGATGTGTTGAGAATTGTTTGAAAGGCTTGTTGAATCATTGTTGATGTTGTATCCTGATTGTCTTGTTGTGAATTGTGCAATGTTATGAAAATGGTCATCTCTTTATTATTTGTGTGAACATGTCATTTGTATTATTCTGAGACATGGTTGTGAC